GTTCGTTCAGTGTGTTAAGTTTCTCTGTTTTTACCTCACAGTTCGTTCAGTGTGTTAAGTTTCTCTGTTTTTACCTCACAGTTCGTTCAATGTGTTTTGTTTCTCTGTTACAATGTAGAACCTCAATTTGTTCAACGTTCAATGTGTTACATGTATATACCTTCTCTGTCAGAGCCTCGATTTAAGATTCGTTCAATGTGTTATATTTCTTATTAAAAACTAACAATTCGTCCAATGTGTTGTTATATTTTTCTGTTAGAACCTCACAATTCGTTCAATGTGCTATATTTCTCTGTTAGAACTTCACTGTTCGTTCAGCGTATCATGTTTCTCTGTTTGAACCGCACAGTTCGTTCGTTCAACGTGTCATATTTCTCTAGTCTTTAAGAACCTCAAAGTTCGTTCAATGTGTCATACTTCTCTGTTAGCATCTCACAATTTGTTCTATGTGTCAGTTTTCTGTGTTAGAACCTCACAGTTCGTCCAGTATGTTATACTTGTCTGTTAGAGCCTCAATTTAAGATTCGTTCAATGTGTTATATATTTTTTGTTTGAACCTATCAATTCGTCCAATGTGTTACTATATTTCTCTGTTAGAACCTCACATTTCGTTGAATGTGTTATTATATTTTCCCCTTTTGAACATCATATTCGTTCAATGTTCTATATTTCTCAGTTAGAACCTCAAAATTTGTTCATGTTTCTCAGTTTGAACTTTACAGTTCGTTCAATATGTCATATTTCTCTGTTTGAACCCCACAGTTTGTTCAATATATCATGTTTCTCTGTTTGAATTGAACCCCACAGTTTGTTCAATGTATCATTTTCTCTGTTTGAACCTGACAGTTCGTTATGTGTGTTATATTTCTCTGATAGAACCTCAATATTATTTCATGTTTCTCTGTTTGAACTTCACCTGTTCAATTTTTAATTTAGACAAAATGTAAAATAGGAAAATGGTATGCCTGTCTTTATGTCCATATTTTTGCACGCTTTTATGTATGTACGAGGACTATATTTCTAGCGCATTGTTCTTACCTTAACTTTAGCGGGTTTCAATGCGGGGGAATATGTTACCTCTGGCTCGGCAGTTGGGGCCATAATCTTTATGCTATTGGATGCCATCTGGAAATCACCAGAATCGTGGATTATAAGACAAAGCGAAATAACTGCGCCAAGTTGTTGAAAAAAAAGAGTGATATATTTTGAGGAAAAATAGTGTCCAGGAATTTGAATCTCAGAACAATTATTGTTTGTACTAATTTGGATATTTAATCGCTAAGTTATTTTTTTTTTCAAGTTCACAGGTAATGATTAGAGTATATAACAGTTTCTTGTGGTAAAGAAGGATTGAGCATTCCTCATCACAACTAGAATTGTACGTCCACGGAAAGTGCAGGAATATCGATCTATTTTTGTTGAGGGAACGCGTGATTGAACTAGAATTATTCCATAATTTAATATTTAATGCTTTTTGAAAATATCTTACCATTCATAAGAAAAGTACGTTAATTGGTTTATCTTGTTGAAATAAGAATTTAGATGTAAGAATATGTAATTTAAAAAAAAATAAATGGATTCAGTCCACCCAATTTTTTTTAAAAAGGAAAATCAAAGGCACATACACTTACCTCAGCGTGGAGTAAAACCATGCTTTCGGACGGTCCGGTTTCCTTGGTAACGCTGCCCCCCTCCCCGGATACAGCAGGCGCAGTAGCAGACGTCAGAGATGGCGGAACGGAATGTTCCTGTGAGTCACGGACCAAATCACTCGTCGATCTCGATCACTCATTGAATCCGCTGAAGATGATATCGATCTCGATCACCTATTGATCTTCGGCCGATCTATCCACTGAGAATCATGGTGCATAGTTAATGAACACTACTCACTGTTGAATTTTTAACGTATCAATAACCGGGAAACTGTTTGTGTTTGGGGCAAAGTTCACAATATTTTTTTTTTTTTATACATTTTAGTCTTATTTTTGGACTTATATTGAATTTTCTTAGATTGAGGGTAATTGATTTATATAAACTTTTATTTTGATTCATTCCTTAAGATGTTATTTATGTTGGAAATTCAGTGTTCGAGGTACAGTATTCGCATATTGCAACAATGAGGAATTAACGCGTATTATTTCAAAATAGACATATATCCCCCTCTCTCCCCTTAATCCCCCTTATCAGACAATTTTCACACAGGATAACAATTGTAATTTGCTCTATTCAAAATATTTACATGTTATTTTCATATCTATTTTGAAAAGACTCAAGCAGACACATGACTTGTCTGTTTTTACATACATGTAGTCACACAAACAGGAATAGATTATAGCAATGAGTATAAACTATACAAAAGTGTTGGCATCATACAATATTAAATATAGAAAATAAAAGTCAACGGCTTTGTTAACACAAAATTGGATTAAATATTTTAAATCTCAAATCAAGTTTGCTTTGCACATTTTCTGTTGATTTGCGTTTCCACAAGTCTCGTAATTAGCCATCTTAAGTAACATATCTATGGCAAACATTGATACACAGTCAAAACCCAAATCTGCAATGGCCATGTAAGATGAAGCAACTCGGATCTTTACAGTTTTCTTTCCTGTTTTTGAATGTTATATTCTGGGTGAGTTCGAATAATTATAGACAGAATCAATTCCATAATCATATGTTATGTCTTTTTATGAAGTAATTATATGAAGTTTACTAGAAACCTGTCCCAAAAACTAAATTATCAATTTTTTTGTAGTGCATTGCATAACAATATTTGTGTAAAAAAAAAAATAATGAAAATACAAATCAGGAAGCCCAAGGCACACGGTAATTTTTAGGTGGATGGTCCGTAGCTCTTTTTTAACACCATTCTTGAGGTAGGGATAAAACAAAGATTTGTATGTTGCTAAAATATGAATAGTGCTCTTTTTTCTTAATCTTAATATCAGCAATCTGTTTAATTCATATTTTGCCCATGCTTTTCGATGATAAAGATGTATCAACAATGTTCTTTTGAGTTAATGCATTGACATGGTCTTGCGTCATTATCTATAGTGAAATTAATACCAAGGTTTTCTTCTCTCTCAAAAAGTCAGTCTAAATGGCGCCTGAAACATCTCTAGGTACTACCATTAATAGATTCACTTTGTCGATGTCATGCTATAGATTGTATTATTTTCCACAACTTTTAATATTTAGCTGATTTTAGATATGTTTAAGATAATATATAAATCTAAGAAAATTAGTTTTTCTCATGTTATATGAAATTTAATCAATATAAGCAAAGAGATGTATTAAGAATCTGTTATCGGGAGACAAAACATATTACACATTACACTGTTACGTGAGTCTAAGTAACAACAAGTTCCAGTATTATCTGGAGACACTAAGTAATTACTGATTACAGTTATCGGTTGAACCTGAGTAACTGTACACTGTTATCGGCAAACACTTAGTATAACTATATCGGAAGACATTTAGTAACTACATATTACACTGTTATCGTAAGACACTAAACAATTACATGTTACACTGTTATCGGAAGAGCCTGAGTAACTTTATATTACAATGTTATCAAGAGAGCTTGAGCAACTACAAGTTACACTGTTATCGACAAAACACTAGGTTACTACATGTTACATGCAATGTTATCGGCAAACACTAAGTTACTACATGTAACAATGTTACACTAAATAACTACTTGTTACACTGTTATCGTAAGACACTAAATAACTACGTTACACTGTTATCGGAAGACAGTAACTATCGGTCAGAATTAACACTTCTTTCAGATTTGGAGTTATAGATAACTTTCAAAAACCGAATATTTATTAGTAGGCTGTTGGAATTGACTCGTCCTATTTTGATATTGTAGGCTGTTGATATTGACTCGTCCTATTTTTATACTGTAGGCTGTTGATATTGACTCGTCCTATTTTGATATTGTAGGCTGTTGATATTGACTCGTCCTGTTTTGATATTGTAGGCTGTTGATATTGACTCGTCCTATTTTTATACTGTAGGCTGTTGATATTGACTCGTCCTATTTTGATATTGTAGGCTGTTGGGATTGACTCGTCCTTTTTGATATTGTAGGCTGTTCGGATTGACTCGTCCTATTTTTGATTGTAGGCTGTTGATATTGACTCGTCCTATTTTGATATTGTAGGCTGTTGATATTGACTCGTCCTTTTTTGATATTGTAGGCTGTTGATATTGACTCGTCCTTTTTTGATATTGTAGGCTTTTCGGATTGACTCGTCCTATTTTTATACTGTAGGCTGTTGATATTGACTCGTCCTGTTTTGATATTGTAGGCTGTTGATATTGACTCGTCCTTTTTTGATATTGTAGGCTTTTCGGATTGACTCGTCCTATTTTTGATTGTAGGATGTTGGGATTGACTCGTCCTTTTTTGATACTGTAGGTAGTTGGGATTGACTCGTCCTTTTTTGATATTGTAGGCTGTTGGGATCGGTATCGTGGGATTTGTATCCTGGACGCTGTCATCCCTCCCCAATAACACAGAGTTCCTTTCTGTAGCCTTCGTAAGTATATCTAAATTAACGAACCTATTCTAATGACGTTAAAACATTTTATTGATCCTTTCGTCGTTTTTGTTGTTATGAAGCATTAGTTTCATGTATAAAAAGTAACTGGAGAAAGCAAAATTAGTACTATGTCTGTACTGCATGTCCTTTAAGATTGAAAAGATTCTGTTTAAGTATAACTATGAATACAATCTTGAAGCTAGATACATCAAAATTTTTTTAATTTTTTTTTTAAGTGGCGGGGATTGAATTTATTTCTTTATGTAATGAATAAAATATCAGATATGAAATTCGGATAGGGCTATGTAGTTCACTATTGCACCATCGAGGTTTGGGTCGATAGTGCGATGACGCGATAATACGATGACGATGAAGTAATGACGCGAGAACACGGTGACGACAGTGCGCTGGTGCAACAACGCGATGACGATGCGATGGCACGATAAAACGATGGCGATGACACGATGGTGCGAGGACGATGAAGATATGTTCACTATCGCTCCATCGTGCTATCGCACCATCGTCATCGTATTGTCGCGTCATCGCGCTATCGCACCGTCGCGTCATCGTTATCACGACATCGAATTATCTTGCCATCGACCCTTTAGTCGATGCTCGATGGTGCGATAGTGTACGAAGTGACCCTATCCGGAGTCCATAACCAGATGAGTAGAATAGTGTATATCAAACATCTTTATATTAATATCTTTTTCAGTCAAAAACTGTGTATCAGTCAACGTGAATGTGTTTATTTTGAATTGCAGGCATTTTTGTACATCATCTTGTTCCTGGGTCTCGTCATAGCAGCCACAGGTACATAGCGAGTTAATTAATCACTAATAGCAGCTACAGGTACATAGCGAGTTAATTAATCACTTATAGCACCTACAGGTACATAGCGTGCTAATTAATCACTTTTAGCAGCCACAGGTACATAGCGAGTTAATTAATCACTAATAGCAGCTACAGGTACATAGCGAGTTAATTAATCACTTATAGCACCTATAGGTACATAGCGTGCTAATTAATCACTTGTAGCAGCTACAGGTACATAGCGAGATAATCAATCACTTATAGCAGATACAGGTACATAGCGAGTTAATCAATCACCTATAGCAGCTACAGGTACATAGCGAGTTAATAAATCACTTATAGCAGCTATAGGTACATAGCGAGTTAATCAATCACTTATAGCAGCTACAGGTACATAGCGAGTTAATAAATCACTTATAACAGCTACAGGTACATAGCGCGTTAGTTAATCACTTATAGCAGCTACAGGTACATAGCGAGTTAATCAATCACTTATAGCAGCTACAGGTACATAGCGAGTTAATTAATCACTTATAGCAGCTACAGGTACATAGCGAGTTAATTAATCATTTATAGCAGCTACAGGTACATAGCGAGTTAATTAATCATTTATAGCAGCTACAGGTACATAGCGAGTTAATAAATCACCTATAGCAGCTACAGGTACATAGCGAGTTAATTAATCACTTATAGCAGCTACAGGTACATAGCGAGTTAATTAATCACTTATAGCAGCTACAGGTACATAGCGAGTTAATAAATCACCTATAGCAGCTACAGGTACATAGTGATTTAATCAATCACTTATAGCAGCTACAGGTACATAGCGAGTTAATAAATCACTTATAGCAGCTACAGGTACATAGCGATTTAATCAATCACTTATAGCAGCTACAGGTACATAGCGTGCTTAATTAATCACTTTCCTCAATCAGACGGCCTAAACAATATTCCACTCTGTTCAATACGCCAATATATTTCTATCATTGCAATATCAACATCCAAATCGTGTCATTTTTTTATCATATTGTCTTGTTTACTTTTAATTACTTTTCATTCCTGCCTATTTTATATGTGTATTTCATGGGGTAAAGGGACAGTTGATGTTGATCTTCAAAGTCAAAAGAGAAGGGGGGGGGGCTTTCTTAGGATTAAGAAAATGCTTTAGCTTAAAACATGACAATTTTTTCATAAAAGAATATTCAGAAGTCAGACGTTGATCTAAATATTTTATATAAGGTCATTTTTTTGTTTACTTGAATTATATGCCTTAAAATAGAAATCATAATTTGAGGAATGGTTTGTTTTCACAGGTTTATTGGGATGTCTCGGTGGCATATCGAGGAGCATTTGTCTACTCAAATGTGTAAGTAAAACACACCAGATCAACCCTCAAGCCAGTAGTACGCAGGGGGGAAAATGTACCGAAAAGTAAGAAAAAGCCCCACTCCCCCCCCCCCCCCACCCCCACCCCAAACACACACACGAAATGAATATCCGTTTTTAGACAGTTTTGATAGTTTCCTAGGTTAGGATTTTTTTACTCGGCAATTTTTTTTCAGGGTTGGTCCTCCCACTTTGAAAACCGTTGCTACTGACCTGAACTCAGATTCTATAGAGCGCTAGTTTATTCACCGTATATGTTTTTCTAGAAGTTGTTAATTCTGTATAAGTAAAGAATAAACTAACTTTTTTTCAGTACACAGGGTTCATGGTCGCTTTCATTTTCATTGAGGTTGCCATAGCGATTGGCGCGTACACACAACAAGACCAGGTAAGCAATGACTCTCCACTTAATGAAATTAAAAATAATGATTAACTCATTCAGTATTAAACAATAAAATCAATAGAAAAAGACGTATCTGTGTATTTCTGTGATTGATACAATGACCACGTCAGCAAATGCAATTTTTCGTTCAGTCGAATGTTGACTGATGTTTTTCATACAAATTGTTAGGCCGTTATGTCTATGGATTTTTGCCCAAATGCTCGGATGTACAAAACCATAAACTAGGGTGTACATAACTATATACTAAGGTCACATACCCATATAGTAGGGTGTACATAACTATATACTAAGGTCACATACCCATATAGTAGGGTGTACATAACCATATACGAAGGTCACATACCCATATAGTAGGGTGTACATAACCATATACTAAGGTCACATACCCATATAGTAGGGTGTACATAACCATATACTAAGGTCACATACCCATATAGTAGGGTGTACATAACCATATACTAAGGTCACATACCCATATAGTAGGGTGTACATAACTATATACTAAGGTCACATACCCATATAGTAGGGTGTACATAACCATATACTAAGGTCACATACCCATATAGTAGGGTGTACATAACCATATACTAAGGTCACATACCCATATAGTAGGATGTACATAACCATATACTAAGGTCATATACCCATATAGTAGGGTGTACATAACTATATACTAAGGTCACATACGCATATAGTAGGGTGTACATAACCATATACTAAGGTCACATACCCATATAGTAGGGTGTACATAACCATATATTAGGGTGTACACCCATTTACCAGGGTGTACATACCCATACACTAAGATACACTTACACTGATATATAACTGAGTACGAGTGTTTTACTCGCAGATTACACATACACATATATACATGTCTGACCTTTTTGGTTTGTTTTATTCGCAGATCCCTTCGTTAATCACCTCGACATGGCCCAAGTTGAACAATGATACCAAGTTCACTCTACAGGCAGGGGTAAGTTTATGCTATAGCAGGCATAAGTTCATGCTACAGGCAGGGTAAGTTCGTGCTGTAGTCGGGGTAACTTCACTGAAGGTTAATCACACTAACTTAAGAGATGGGTAAGTTATGCTTCAGGTAGAGGTAAGTACACGGCTACAGATAGGGGTAAGTTCATGCTACAGTCGGGGTTACTTCACTGAAGGTAAATCACACTAACTTAAGATGGGGGTAAGGTCATGCTACTGACTGGGGAACGTTAGTGTTACAAGCAGGGGTACGCTCATGCTAAGGGCAGGGTTAAGTTTATGTTACAGTCAGGGTAGATTTACTGAAGGCAAATAACACTAATAAAGAGTCATACTGCAAGCAAAAGTAAGTCACACTAAAGATTGGGACGTTCAGAGTTCAAAGAATGTAAGCCATAATAACGACATGGTAGGTTCATACTAAAACGAGGGGTAAGGGCACAGTATGCCCAGGGGTAAGGGCACAGTATGTCCAGGGGTAAGGTCACACTAAAGACAGGGGTAAGGTCACACTAAAGACAGGGGTAAGGTCACACTACAGACAGGTCTAAGGTCACACTACAGACAGGGCTAAGGTCACACTACAGACAGGGGTTAGGTCACACTACAGACAGGGATAAGGCCACACTACAGACAAAGGTAAGGTCATACTACAGACAGGGGTTAGGTCAGACTACAGACAGGGGTAAGGTCATACTACAGACAGGGGTTAGGTCAGACTACAGACAGGGGTAAGGTCACACTACAGACAGGGGTTAGGTCACGCTACAGACAGGGCTAAGGTCACACTACATACAGGGGTAAGGACACACTACAGACAGGGCTAAGGTCACACTACAGACAGGGGTAAGGTCACACTACAGACAGTGATTAGGTCACACTACAGACAGGGGTAAGGTCACACTACAGACAGGGGTAAGGTCACACTACAGACAGGTCTAAGGTCACACTACAGACAGGGCTTAGGTCACACTACAGACAGGGGTAAGGTCTCACTACAGACAGGGGTAAAGTCACACTACAGACAGGGGTTAGGTCACACTACAGACAGGGGTAAGGTCACACTACAGACAGGGGTAAAGTCACACTACAAACACGGGTAAGGACACACTACAGACAGGGCTAAGATCATCACACTACAGACAGTGGTTAGGTCACACTACAGACAGGGGTAAGGTCACCCTACAGACAGGGGTAAGGTCACACTACAGACAGGGCTAAGGTCACACTACAGACAGGGGTAAGGTCATACTACAGACAGGGGTTAGGTCACGCTACAGACAGGGGTAAGGTCATACTACAGACAGGGGTTAGGTCACGCTACAGACAGGGGTAAGGTTACACTACAGACAGGGATAAGGTCACGCTACAGACAGGAGTAAGGTCACACTACAGACAGAGGTAAGGTCACACTACAGACAGGGGTAAGGTCACACTAAAGACAGGGCTAAGGTCACACTACAGACAGTGGTTAGTTTACACTACAGACAGGGGTAAGGTCACACTACAGACAGGGGTAAGGTCACACTAAGACAGGGGTTAGGTCATACTACAGACAGGGCTAAGGTCACACTACAGACAGGGGTAAGGACACACTACAGACAGGGCTAAGGTCACACTACAGACAGTGGTTAGGTCATACTACAGACAGGGGTTATGTCAAACTACCGACAGGGGTAAGGTCACACTACAGACAGGGGTAAGGTCACACTGCAGACAGGGGTAAGGTCACACTGCAGACAGGGGTACACTACAGAGGAGGGTTGGTTCATGATGATTGACTTTACACTGGAGGGGGTAGTTCATTTTGCAGACTGGGTAAATATAGTTTTGAGGCTTAGTAAGTTACTTTGGAAGGCTTGGTAAGTTCACTCTGTAGGATGAGTAAATTTACGTTCTAGGTTGAGTAGGTTACCTTGAAAATTGGGGAAGCTCTCAGCTATGTACCACTGAGAGTATTTTCAATCCAACTGGTGAACGTTCACGATGCAGACAGAATAGGGTCATATATAGAAATGGGTTAAATTCACACACAGGCAGGGTAGGACGATATGTACAATGGTAAAATCGAAGCAGGTGAGAGTAACCATTATAAAAAATATCCACCAGGTAGCTATGATGGTTTTCTAATCAGATGACTGATGTGACTTTTAATGAGACTGGTTATTGTCTTAATCTTTAGAGCTCTGGAAAGCTGTGGTGTGTTAACAATTACTTAATGAGACCGATATATCGTCTTATTTTCATAAAAATTGTTTGGCCATTATTTACACATTTTTCCGTTTGACCGATCATGACAATGAACGCACAGCGAGTGTGACCGGTCGACAGGGGATACCTACTCCTCCATGGTACCTGGTCCCACCTCTGATGCTTTTAGAGGTCTGTGTTTGCTCTGCTCCAAATTTGTATTGTTACAATGGGCTTTTGAGCTTAATTACTGTTCGTTATCTCCATATTTCAGTCCACAATGAATTGCTTCATTAAACTGGTTTGTTGAATAATTTTGTTGTTGGAGTATTTTGGTGTTAACAATTACTTAATAAGACGGGGACATGCAGTGAATGTTGAGTTATTTTGTAGATGAGGTGATGTGGTTTAACACTTACTTAATGAGACCTCTATGCTGTGTTATTTTGTAGATGGACTGTTATGTTTTTTTTACCTTGTAGCTGGAGTGTTGTGGTGTTAATAATTACACAGAGTACGGATTTGAGTTGGCCGACATTCCACAGAGCTGCTTCAAGGTTTACGACACACTGACTGTCCACACTAAGTCGTGGACCCTGCTCTTCCAGGTTCGTCAAAATCGAGTTAAAATCTTTGAAAATGTTTATACATCCAATCATATAGGATTTATTATCCATTTATTTTCTCCTTTCTTCAAAATCTTGGTAAAGGTCCTATTTTCCTTGCAGACGCCATGTCTCCAGCAGATAGAGAACTGGTTCAGTGCTAATTTACCCATCTGGGTGACCATCCTGATCCTGATATGCATTGTACAGGTAAGCATTTAGATAAGTGCATACTTTCGGTTTAACTTTCAGTATTTCTGATTAAAGTGATTGACACATTCGATATCTTCCCTACAGTTTGTTAGTATGGGGTTAGGAATAACCGTCATTGTGAAGATAGAGGAACAAACGAAGGTTCATCCCGCGCCCGACCCTCCTGACGAGGAGCAGCCACCAGATGGCGCTACCATTGTTTGTTCAGAATCGCTTCATCCAGAATCTTCACACATCAGTGAATTCTCTGATCAGTTATCTCTATCCTCGGCGTCCGGGGACACGACAGCCAGGAAACTGTCCGAAGTTCCGGAAGAGGAGGAAGACCGCCTATCCTCTGGCGTGGTGTGCTGTAATTCTAAGGACGACCTTGACGCCAGTACAACAGGGGATCACGTGGAAATTGAAGATCACATGGGTACTGGAGATCACGTGGCTACTTCAGAAGATCACGTGGAAGCAGACAAGGTTGATGCAGCATCTGAAGGAGCTGGAGCACTGAATGAAGAAGTGATTACAGTAGGTGAAAATGAAAACGGAAATGTAGATAATGATCCTAAAGAGGCTGCTTTACTTGTATTCTACGACGAAAACACAAAGCAGTATGAAAATCAGAAATCACCAACATTCAATGAATCGAGGAATGAAGTCGATCCCGAGCCCGGTCTCGTAGCAACCCAGGGTAATACTGAAGGCGCCACAAATCAACAGGAAGACAGCATTCACGGTAATCAGGAGACCGGCCCTGAAAAACTGAACGAATCTACACATCTTCAGAGTACAGACAGCAAGGCTGATAGACAATCGCTGCTTGAGGAATATCAACATAATCTAGAAGATATAGACAAGAGCAATCTTCAGAAAGACGCATCTGTCAACGAAATGGTTAGCTCAAAGGATGGATAGAAAGAAGAGGAAAATCACACCATCGAGGTCGATCACAATGAGATTTAGGGGCCAGAAATAAGACAAAAAAATACCAGTCACTTTTTATAATTATAGATTTATAAATCTATTCTTGATATTTTTTTTTGTTTTTAGCTCACCTGAGCCAAAGACTGAACTGTTAGGGTTAGCTTTTTTGATCGAGAAGTGTCTAGGATCCGTCTGTCTCTCTCGTGATGACAACTTCTCACCTAGAACCACTGGACATTATTAAAGATCCTTTCCACAAAGCATCCTTGGTTGAAAGGAATTCAGATTTTTTAAAAATATAAAAAAAAAATATATATATATAACTACAAAGTCAAGTTTGTTTAATTCATGGCCCCTGGTGCTAGGATGAGTCGTCAATATGAGGTCAAGGCTGTATATAACACAATATGCCAAATACAGATCCTAATGTTTTTCATTCATAACCTAGGATAAGGACAAAATGTATTGTGGTCTAGTTATTAATAATTTATTTACAGATACACAAGTGCGATGTCTTTGTAATATTTGTAGCAATCTATTCTGTATTCCTTATGTCCATTATTCTGGTCAACCGATCAACAAATTGAACGAATTTAAGCAGACTGACCAATTATTCTTTGTTACGCCTATAAAAATTGGTTCCTATATATAAATCTATACTAAAGAATGTCTAACATTCCGGATGTTTCACTGAGAGGTCATAAAAAAACGATGTTTGACAGCAGAGTGAAATATTGGACCTGTCGATGATAAGGATGGGTATCGGCAAAAATTTCGTATCGTGATATATCACGATTTTTTTTTTTCAAAAATATCACGATAAATCGTGATATTTTTACACGCAATTTTTACTACAATTTCAACTGAATTTCCGTAATATTTCTTGAAAATATGGCTATAAAAACATAACTTTACTTTTTAAATTTTCATTTATTTAATATAAAGCATGTTTTTATACCATTGTTTAACTGTTTTCAACATTTTTACACTTCCTGTAATTGTCATTCAATAGTTTGAACAAATAAATGAATAATTTCCGGAATTTATAGTTGCGTACCAAATACCGGTATTTTAGTCTCCGTATCACGATACGTATCACGCAATAAAAAATCGCGATATACCGGTATACCGATAAAATCGCGCATTCCTAGTCGATGAGATATCGGACCGCTTACGTCACACTGTGGGCGGGATCAGCTAAATCTTATATAATTTACATTTGTTGGTTTTCGACAGTGACAGAATTGACCGAGTGCGGGTAAAGGAAATTAACATCGTGGAAGCCAGCACATGACACATGTATGTCAAAGAATAAATGAATAAAAAGTATAACAAAACATTTATTGACTTTGTTCTCGAGCAAAATGCGTTCTGTCGACCCCTTGAACTAAACTTTTTTCCTTTGGCCTAACGGCCTCCGGAAAACAGTTAAATTTGGTTCTTGGTTGTTGCTCTCGTACCCAGTCAATAAATGTATAAGGTTACTCAACTGGACCCCAGCATACGTTTCCCTTCCCGTACCAGTGGTAATCGTCTGTGAACATTATACAACACTGAGTGAATTCTTCTGATTCCTGATTCAATTTAGATAGGTACATGCATAATGAGAGTTATTCCTCTTGTTAAGCGAATTCATTTAATTAACTGTGATATTTCACGATACTACACCTGAATAATGTACATGTGAAGGAAAAAAAATATCACACTTGCGTAAAGATCTCATTTCGAACATTTAATTTTCTAGAATCTGAAACTAAAGAATTGTACATTATAAAAGAATTTATCATTCTGTTACCGATAATAGTAAAAAAGGGTTAAGAATGCTCAGCACAGCTATTATCAATGGATTTATTACCCACCCACCCCCTCTCTCTCTCTCCGTGACCAGATAAGGTTATTACATTAAGATCTCTCTCTCTCTCTCTCTCCGTGCACAAAGGTTGTATAACATTAAGATTCTGTCTCCGTGGACAGATAAGGGTTTTATTATATAAAGATGTTTCATTCGTGTACATTCAGGCCCTCAATTCTTCTAATGGACTATAATTTTATATTTTGACAATTCCAGTAGAGGTTTCCATCACTGGCTGTTCTATTATGCCAGGAGTTAGCATTTACTCACCCTAGAGATCGTTCATTTTATCTCGATCCAATTATTTTCTGTGTCGAAATTGTTCCCAGTATCTGTTGGCTTCATCTTATGGAACTGTGAATCAGGAAAGATGGAAATTAAACTCCTAACAATGCGAATATCTGGGATCCCTCGTTAATTCTTTACCGTGTTATAGATGAAGTCGGACCCGTGTTCACACTTTACCAGTAAAGTACAAAGATGTAAGACGTGAGAGCTAATTGAGATGGCATGACGATAATGGTTAGCAAACTAAAATGAAAGATTTCCTTGTGTAGGGACAAATCCAAGATTTCCACGTAGGCGGTGCACAGAAATTATCTTCACAAGGCAACAATAGAGAGAGAGAAATAGAATAAAAGATGCATATTGTCTATTTTATAAGTTGAAAGTGATCCCCAACTATATATGTTTTGGTAAAGATTGCAATAAAAAAAAATCGGGGGTGGACAATGTGCACGCCGTATGCTGTGACATACCAAAACACCGAAATATGTAGTTTTCTTTTAGTAGCTTTTTAATGAAAATATCGTAAATACGATAAAAATTTATCTTTCAACATGCATACATATATATTCTAGTCAAAATTGCTATTAAACTCGTCAATCTGCTTTTCTCGTTTTTGTAGATTACATTTATGTTTTTTATTCCTTTTAAGTATTTATCTATCTACTTTTTTCCCTACGTCGCGCGCGATACTGATGTTTCTTTGACACAGTGCTTTGGAAAATTCGTCAGCAAGATTATGCAGAGATGATTGCTATATATCAATGGCAAGGAAAATATGTAAATAATGAATGTTATATACTTTAAATATATTTCAGACTTTTTTCCAGTAGTTAAAATATAGCTAGATTTACGGCGATGTCATTTTCTGATGTCCCAGCGTTATACATAAAGTGGCCATTCGCTTTATTAAGAGGTTATTAATATAATTAATTCTGTGCCAAATTAATATTGGGATAGTGGGTATAATTATGATTGTGTCATTGGTATCCAAAAAACGATGTCATAACTTATTAGCTCACCTCAACGAAGTTGGGGGAGCTTATGTAATACCCTCGGCGTCGGCGTCGGTGTCGGCGTCGGCGTCCCAGGTAAAGGTTTTTGGAGCAGTTTTCTTTTCAAGTACTTCTATGGCCTATATTAGTCAGAGATGCATGGAGGATGCTTCTAGTGTGTTTTATTGTACCAGTCAAGGTTTCAGATGCTGCAATTTCAGCTAAAGAATGACCAGGTTAATGTTTTTGGAGCAGGTTAAAGTTTTTGGAGCAGGTTAAAGTTTTTGGAGCAGGTCTCATTTCCAAGTAACTATAAGCCCTATATTGACCAAACTTGCATGGTATCTAAGGATGCACACTACTGGACTTGCCTCGGATGCTGGATCTGACCTATATTTTCCGGATGAGTGACCAGGTTAAGGTTTTTGGAGCAGATCTCATTTCCAAGTAACTATAAGCCCTATAATGACCAAACTTGCATGGATGATACATCTAAGGATGCACACTACTGGACTTGCTTCGGATGCTGAATCTGACCTATATTTTATGGATGAGTGACCAGGTTAAAGTTTTTGGAGCAGATGTCATTTCCAAGTATCTATAAACCCTATATTGACCAAACTTGCATGGATGATACATCTAAGGATGCACACTACTGGACTTGCTTCGGATGCTGGATCTGACCTATATTTTCTGGATGAGTGATCAGGTTAAGGTTTTTGGAGCAGATCTCATTTCCAAGTAACTATAAGCCCTATATTGACCAAACTTGCATGGATGATACATTTAAGGATGCACACTACTGGACTTGCTTCGGATGCTGAATCTGACCTATATTTTATGGATGAGTGACCAGGTTAAAGTTTTTGGAGCAGATGTCATTTCCAAGTATCTATAAACCCTATATTGACCGAACATGCATGGATGATACATTTAAGGATGCACACTACTGGACTTGCTTCGGATGCTGGATTTGACTTAAATTTTCTGGATGAGTGACCAGGTTAAAGTTTTTGGAGTAGATCTCATTTCCAAGTAACTATAAGGCCTATCTGAACCAAACTTGCATGGATGATGCATCAAGGGACGAACAATCTAAAAACTTGCTTCGGATGCTGGATTTGACTTACATTTTCTGGATGAGTGACTAGTTTTAAGTTTTCAGATAAGTCTATTCCCAAGTAACTGCAAGCCCTATCAGATCAAAATTGCATAAATGTTGCATCTAGGGATGCACACTCCTAGATTATTAGTTTAGTGTGGGACTTTGCCTTACTTAAAGACAACATTCGTTGAGGTGAGCTCTGTAATCTCTGATTACCTATGTTTTTAATGTTTTATGGACGAAATTGATATATCGGCCTTGGAAATGTGGTGCAGATTTAGATGGAATGAAACTAGAAGCCATCATTACCATGCCGAATCTATGGATTAGTTGATAATCTCTGGTACAGTTATAATACACATGTATCTCGGAATATAGTGTATACCAGTAGTATATAATTCTGACAATATCGGTCGCGGTCATTCGTAAGTGAGAAAATTCCATTAAAAAATTACAAGTACTTTGTCAAATTAAAGATTATTCAATAGGAGTATATCCTGAAAATGAAGACATGAAAGGTTGAACTTGTACAAACTGTGCCTGCTCTCTGCTGTTGCTCTTTCTCACTTTTTTCCACCTTAATATTATCAAAATAGCATTTAAACGAATAAAAAAAGTAGAACTTATTTTAAATCACTTTCTAAAAGGTGATTTGAAAAAAGTTCGTTTTCATGCAGTGTAAATTTAGATTACCAAGTTAATCGAGGAGTTAAACACTTCAAAAATTTGCCGCCTGGTTTCTATTAGTATTGGGTTGAAATGATTTTTATTTTATTTTTTTTTTTTTGTTCTGTTGTCTTTCAGTGTACTATCTGTAGAGCTGTATGGCAATACTAAGCAAGCATAAGCCTAACCTAGGCCATAATGAACCCGGGTCGGAATGATTTGTGGTCATATATAACTGTTCCTATTGCGTCAAGCTGTATATTGCTCAACAGAGAGAAGCCAATATCTGTGTATGGAATTCTCTAATTTTTAGGTTGTAAATTAGATATATGAAAGGGTGTGTATACAAGACCACTTGAAAGTTGCTGAGAATTTTATTACCTATTATCATGGTGTGTAAACGGATATTAGAACCGAAAAACTGCGTACGCAAATCTCTGCTTGACGCGTTCTCCATGAAATTGATTTTTTAAAAGACTACTTCCACCATGTCGTCTCAGTATAATATTGCCTGCTCAATGTGTGAAAGAAACCATAAAACTCACGCTGTGTTTTTCCTATTTTTTTGCAAAAATATAACAAACAGCACAGAGCAATAACAAAAGGCAAGATGAACTTCCACAAAATATTATCTGAGTAAGGCATGATGGAGTTGTACAGGGGTCCATCATCCGCTCACAACACATAACGATGACTTCCGCCTGTCCAGTTCACTCTCTATAATGAAGTCTTTGAATTTCTCAGAACTTTCCATTTTATCGTGAATAAACCACAAGATTGCGTAGCAGACGACAGTGAAGATGATGAGGACGAACGTTACCGTGACAACGGCAATAGCGATGCTGAGGAGATGATAGTCACAGTAATGTACGGCGTGTTCGTCTTCCGTCTGGGCGATCTTCAGAAGATTGTACACCAAAACTGCGCCTTTAAAGAAAGAAGATTAAAATTTCTTACAAATATTTATATGTCGAGTCCAATTCAAAAGTAAAAAAAATTGTTCTACCGGTATACATGTACATTGTATATGGACTCGAAAGTAAGAAAAAATTGTTCTACCGGTATAGGGGCCTACATTGTATATGGACTCGAAAGTAAGAAAAAATTGTTCTATATAAAAGATTGACGACAGCGTATCTTTTGAAATATCCACATATACATATAAACAAAGACGATAGTATTCCACATTCATTAATGATTCGCATCTTTAAATTACAACATTTTCAGTATATTATTAATATATTTTAAGAGAAGACTTGAGGTATGATCTTCTCGCGGAGAATGACTACGTGTACTATATAGCATCCATCAGGCAGCAGGTTTTTACACACATCCTATATACATTCAAAGCTACAATGCATAAAAAACATTTTTATTTACCTGTAAACCCCCAAAACACGAGAAATAACGTTAACATGTCGGTGACAGTGTACAGACAGTGTCTTTCCCCTTCAGGGGGGACAATATTGCACATTATACGGGCACCTTGTAGAAAACATTTTAACATCAATGCAGCACCATTTAAAGTCAGAAACAGCGGAAGAAGAGGTTCACAGGGGCAGTTATTGAACTCCATTATGCCTGTAAAAAAAATAAAATTAAACATCTTCGGTTGGACACAAAACAACAATTAATCAAATTTAAACAATGTATGTAGCAGTTTTGAGCTGCGCTGCATAATCTGAATTGATCTGTCTCAACACAAATTCTATCAACGTTATGGATGCGTCGTCCTGAATGCCAACCGCAACTTCTAAGACCTTTCCGACAAGCGGGAAAACAAGAGGCCCATGGGCCACATCGCTCACCTGAGCACAGTGGATAGGCAAAAGCACAAATCAGTTCAGTATTGAAAAGATTCCGGGGGGGGGGGGGGCTTGAATTTTAAACTACCTGATGATGCTTCCATGTCAAAATAACAAATTGCTTTGTTGTACTTGAGAAGATTTTTAAAAAATTTTCTGATATATTCCTTTGTAAAAATTTGATCCCCCCTTGTGGCTCCTCCCTATCCCAGGGGTCATCATTTGAACAAACTGGAATCTACACTACCTGAGGATGCTTCCATATCAATATGACTAAACATAGCTTTCTGTTCTTGAGAAGAAATATTTTTTCTATATGTTCTTATGTAACATTCGATCCTCCACTGGGCCCCGTCCTACTCTCGGGGGTCATCATTTGAACAAACTTGAATCTACACTACCTGAAGATGCTTCCATATCAATATGACTAAACATAGCTTTTCTGTTCTTGAGAAGAAATATTTTTTCTATCCCCCTATTTCTATCCCCCTATTGGGCCCCAACCTACCCTCGGGGGTCATCATTTGAACAAAATTGAATTTACACTACCTGATGATGCTTCCATATCAAAATGACTAATCATGGCTTTGCAGTTCTTCATCAGAAGAAATCTTCCTATATATTTTTACTTCAGACTTTGATCTTCCATTGTGGCCCCACCCAACCCCAGGGGGGCAACATCGAACAAACTTGAATCTACACTACCTGAGTATACTTCCACATAAATATGATCAATCAGGGCTTTGCTGTTCTTGAGAAGAAGATTTTTAAAGATTTTTCCTATATATCTCTATGTAAAACTTTGATCCTCCTTTGGGGCCCCACCCTACCCCCAGGGGTCATGATTTGGACATACTTAAATCTAAACTACCTTAGGATGCTTCCATATAAATATGACCAATCATGGCTTTGCTGTTCTTGAGAAGAAGATTTTTAAAGGTTTTTCCCATATATTTCTATGTAAAACTTTGATCCTCCTTTGGGGCCCCGCCCTACCCCCAGGGGTCATGATTTGAACAAACTTGTATTTACACTACCTGAGGATGCTTCCATATAAATATGACTCATCATGGCTTTGCTGTTCTTGAGGAGAAGATTTTTAAAGGTTTTTCCCATATATTTCTATGTAAAACTTTGATCCTCCATTGTGGCCCCGCCCTACCCCCGGGGGTCATGATTTGAACAAAATTGAATTTACACTACCTGAGGATGCTTCCATATAAATATGTCTCATCATGGCTTTGCTGTTCTTGAGGAGAAGATTTTTAAAGGTTTTTCCCATATATTTCTATGTAAAACTTTGATCCTCCATTGTGGCCCCGCCCTACCCCCGGGGGTCATGATTTGAACAAACTTGAATCTACACTACCTGAGGATGCTTCCATATAAATATGACTCATCATGGCTTTGCTGTTCTTGAGGAGAAGATTTTTAAAGGTTTTTCCCATATATTTCTATGTAAAACTTTGATCCTCCATTGTGGCCCCGCCCTACCCCCAGGGGTCATGATTTGAACAAAATTGAATTTACACTACCTGAGGATGCTTCCATATAAATATGACTCATCATGGCTTTGCTGTTCTTGAGGAGAAGATTTTTAAAGGTTTTTCCCATATATTTCTATGTAAAACTTTGATCCTCCATTGTGGCCCCGCCCTACCCCCGGGGGTCATGATTTGAACAAAATTGAATTTACACTATCTGAGGATGCTTCCATATAAATATGACTCATCATGGCTTTGCTGTTCTTGAGGAGAAGATTTTTAAAGGTTTTTCCCATATATTTCTATGTAAAACTTTGATCCTCCATTGTGGCCCCGCCCTACCCCCGGGGGTCATGATTTGAACAAAATTGAATTTACACTATCTGAGGATGCTTCCATATAAATATGACTCATCATGGCTTTGCTGTTCTTGAGGAGAAGATTTTTAAAGGTTTTTCCCATATATTTCTATGTAAAACTTTGATCCTCCATTGTGGCCCCGCCCTACCCCCGGGGGTCATGATTTGAACAAACTTGAATCTACACTACCTGAGGAAGCTTCCATATAAATATGACTCATCATGGCTTTGCTGTTCTTGAGGAGAAGATTTTTAAAGGTTTTTCCCATATATTTCTATGTAAAACTTTGATCCTCCATTGTGGCCCCGCCCTACCCCCGGGGGTCATGATTTGAACAAACTTGAATCTACACTACCTGAGGATGCTTCCATATAAATATGACTCATCATGGCTTTGCTGTTCTTGAGAAGAAGATTTTTAAAGGTTTTTCCCCATATATTTCTATGTAAATATTTGATCCTCCATTGTGGCCCCGCCCTACCCCCAGGGGTCATGATTTGAACAAACCTGAATCTACACTACCTGAGGATGCTTCCACATGAGTTTCATCTTCCCTGGCTTTGTGGTTCTTGAGAAGAAGATTTTTAAAAGATGCTATTAATTTTTCACTTATTCTTTATTATCTCCCCTTGAAAGAGGGCGTGGCCCTTCATTTGAACAAACTTGAATCCCCTTCACCCAAGGATACTTTGTGGCAAGTTTGGTTGAAATTGGCCCAGTGGTTCTTGAGAAGAAGTCGAAAATGTTTACAGACAGACGGACGGACAGACGGACAGACGGACTACAGACAAAATGTGATCAGAAAAGTTCACTTGAGCCTTCGGCTCAGGTGAGCTAAAAAACCTCTAATGTTTTAAGAGGGCATCCATGACACCCCCTCCCCCCTTTGTCATAAACATTGAAATAAAGGGAAAACTGTTATCTGTAGATTATGGAGCAAAACTTCATCGAATATAAAGATATTATCTAGAGTATACTACAGAAAGGACAATCAGCTCTGCCTTTCCAATATTTTAATAAATAGGAAGCGACTCCATTTTGTATACATTTGTAACATCCGGTGATGTGAATATATTCGAGGTGTTTTTGTGAGATTGATTGATTCATTGCCTGAATGAATGGATTTGGAACAAATTTCAACGCAGATGTAGTCTAAATGACAACTGCAAATGTGTGAAGTTCTCTCCCCCCCCCCCCCCCCCCCCAAAAAAAAAGGTCGCAAATCTGTTTCTTTCAACAAAATGATAATCCTTTATTTATTTTCTCATTGTTAATTTAAATATTTACTGTTACAATTACTAGTACACGGAGACATTACAATTCCATAACAACCTGTGTGATGTGAACATTGTGCCCAGATATAATTAACACTCATGAAGCTTGGACTCTCGGACATTAGCATACGTCTGGTACCATTTCGAAATCAATATAATAGAACATTCTTCATTTTTCATAGCTGAGCCAGAGTCAATGTGATATACACTACAATGTCAATTGATCCCCCAATTCTATTGAGAATACTCACCGAACGTTAGGCACAGAACGGAAATGGCCAGTCCTATCGTCAGCATGGACAAACCAAGCACTGAATGATAACAAAGATATCGCTGACAATGTAAACAAATGACCAACTAAAACAAACGTTTAACAGTATTTTTATTTCTTTGACCGTGCACGTGGCATTGGTATTGTACTCACCCGATTTATTAAAGGAGTTGTTCACGTGACATATAAAGTTGTACGCGTCTTCCTCCTCCATATAAGCGTTCTGTAGAACCCGACAGTGACATCCCTTCCTACCATCATTGTGTACTGGAACAAAAATCGGTGAACTTTCAGATTTAGAAATTGAATGGTGGCTAATGAAGTTGTCGTCTGCTGTTCTAATACAACGACCCCAACATTATCCGGACAATGCTTGAACTCAGTGCCCATTTAACTACTGCTAACAGGGTCAGAATCTGGCAGCTTACAAAGATTCTATACATTCCATCATTAAATGAACCAGAGACATAAATAACGTTAATTACTAAACCTCAGAGAGAACCAACATTTTATTCCATGCATATTTTAAAATAGATTATTGTAATACCTTGTCGCTCTGCAGATGGTTCGGCGCAGACGACATCGTGCAGCAGAGAGTCGTTTGGACTGGCCATTACACTCCTAGTCTGAGCATGACAGAGATTGTTTCTAGAGCAAACGACACAAACACGAAGTCACAAAAGCCACCTTGTAAGATGTTACTACACACACTTCACCCAGAGGCACCGACAGATGCAGAAAATCATTTCCTGGTCTGTATATATCTTCCGCTGTGAAGAGTTAGGTACCTAATACACACAAACAACAGGCCGTGCATTGGCGCTTCACCGTCAGGCCGTGTAGAGCTGGGCGCCGGAGGGGTGTGTGTCGTAACGTCGTAACTTCCGCCGTAAACTAAGTAGTTGTCGCTAAATCTCCAGTCTCCCGTTTCTTGGCTCAAATGAAAATATAAACACTAATCTCTCACATGTGTGTTCACCCTGACACGTGCCAGCTTACGGTGTTTAAACACTAATTCCTTCTCATTACACACGTTATTTACAAGAATCCTAGATTAAGAGTTCTAAAGGTAAACAAATGACATTTGTCCTTGATGTGTGACAAAGGTGTGTTCCCTTTCTACGAGTTTAAGTTGTGGGGAAATCAATACCCACCGTCACTGATTTATAATTGCGTTCCCAGTCACACAGTAGTATGTGGATGATATGCCGTGTTTTATATCTTAATTTATCGGTCTTAATGAATTACTGCATTATACAGCTGTGTCTGTTCTATAGCTAATCCATCAAACGTAAACAATATTGACAATCCGGTCAGAAGTCACCAGAAAGATGCGAGTAGATCAGTTTCTGAGGATCGGCCACCTGCACAGTCTCTGGCCCATTAATCGCATTAGTTGTACAAGCACGCATTCACTGTATACCAAAATATACATTCGACAACTTACACAGAGCGTGACAAAAGTTTGACATTTATCATGATGAAGATGTCATTTTATAACCTGTTGCTGATTCAGTGTAACCCTCATATATATACATGCAATATTCGATCTTTTCCATTTGTATTGTATAATTTTCCATTTGTATTGTATAATTCTCCATTTGTATTGTATAATTCTCCATTTGCAATCTATAATTTTCCATTTGTATTCAATAATTTTCATTTGTATTGTATAATTTTCCACTTGTAATACACATACTTTTCCATTTGTATTGTAAAATTATACAATACAAAAAGAAATTTACAGTAAACAAATGGAAAATTATACGATACAAATAAGAATTGTACAATACAAATGAAAAATTATACAATGCAAATGGAAAATTATACAATACAAATGGAACATTATACGATACAAATAAGAATTATACAATACAAATGAAAAATTATATAATACAAACGAAAAATTATGCAATACAAATGAAAAATTGTAGAATACAAATGAAAAATTATAGATTGTACATGTACAATATAAATAAAAATTATAGAATACAAATGAAAAATAATAGAATACAAATAATAATTTTACAATGCAAATGAAAAATTATATAATACAAATGGAAAATTAAAGAATACAAATAAACATTATACAATACAAATGGAAAATTATACAATGCAAATGGAAAATTATACAATTGGAAAAGATCGAATATTGCAACGTTTGACATGCCATATACTGGGTTAAATATATTTTTTGACAATGTTTAAAAAAAATCTTAAGATGTTTGAATTCTTGGCATATATAATTTTGATTTCATGTTCCAAGAAAAGCCCACTGCTGTGTCTCTGAGTGAGAAAATTCGGATAGGCAAACCAGAGAGCTACAGATCCAAGCATTGTAAAAACCTTCGATTTACGGCGACGCATTTTTGTCGCTCGATTCCGGTATTATTTCTTGTATTATATGCTTTCCCCCGCTTAAAGAATGGTATCTGTTCATTAACCATATATTTTACTCTTATTCCTGATACTTTATTTACCTTTAGGGTGCATTATTTTAGTAAGACCCCACCATATGGATGTCGGAATACGAATTTTAAAAACTGACATTCCAAGGCCATATAGGGCTGTTTGTATTGTATCAGGAATACAGTAAAATATGATTGATGAAATAATATCATCCTGAGCGGAGAAACGCATATGTAATACAAGAAATAATACTCGAAGCGAGCGACCAAAAAAAAAGTGGTAAATCGAAGGTTTTTACAAAGCATGGATCTGTAGGTCTGGTTTGTCGGTCCGAATTTTCTCATCCAGAGAGCTACAGTTCTGTAGCTGCTGCTGTGTATGTACATACCCTCATTAAACATTTTGGTTACCGAAAGTCAATCATATTTTTATACGATTGTGAAAGTCGCTTAACTTTAAAAAAGAAAAAAAAAACTTTGTTTTTTATTTGGTTTTGCCGCTCCGTCCCTCTGTAATTCTGTTTACTGTGCTAGTACTGTAGACAGCCAATGTTTTGAGTGCAATGAAACCTTGGAGTTCAGAAAAAATTACGTCTGTTTATTAAATAAGAGCGTTGATTGTTCACTGCTTCGCTAACTTAATACACCAGGGATGTCTGCTTTGTGTATCGGAATCAGACGAGGGTTTGTATATTAGTGTCTGTTATGGCGATATTTTACCCATTTTCAAGACAATCACACAACATCAAAGAGAATCGTTGTGTGGGTATTACACCAGTTCAAGATGTGTAATGCATTAAACGGAGAGAAATAACTGAAAATATGTTTTTAACTTTTTATGCTCCTGTAATCGAAGATTCAGTATACATGTATACATGAAGTTTTTGGTCTGTCCGTCCGTCTGTCTGTTAATCCGTTTGATTGTTTGTACGCAAAAATTTTAATCTTGGCCATAACTTTTGAACAGTTGGTACTAAGGCTTTTATATTTCACATTTTTATTTCATGTAACAAGATATTTCTTTTAGGTACCAACATTTTTGACGCTGACCTTTGACCTATTTTTGAAAAAACTTTAACGTTAGCCATAAATTTTAAACTGTTGATGCTCATGCTTTCAACTATTACTTGACATTGTGTATTCCTTGTGACAAGCGCTTTCTTTGGGTACCAACATTTTTGACCTCCTGACCATGACCTTTAGGTCAGACCAGTAATTGTAATAACTTTAACCTTGCCTATAACTTTTGAACGGGTTGTGCTAGGGATTTCAAATTTCACATACGTATTTCTTGTAACAAAACCCTTCTTTGGGTACCAACCAACTCTTGACCTTGGAGTTTGAACTACATCTGAAAAAATCATACTTGGCCCTAGGCTGCCAAACGGGGACGTCAGTTTTTCACAAACACAACTTTTTTTTTGTGAGATTTGTCATTAACTAAAAATTACCCGATATTATTTTCGCCATGTTTGTTTCCGTTGTTTGTAAACAATAGCATATAGATAAAGGATAAGATTTGACCTGCCCAATCTGCTCTGCCCAAAGATAGCATCGCCACAATCAATTATATTTTTTGAAGCATCCAAAGGAAGTGCAGTAATTTCATTGAAATAAAACACACATCGATATTTTGTAAATTTTCTTACTGGTGATTACATATTTCATTTGGTTTAAAAACCTTCAATCGTAGGAGACGAGATATATGTACCTAATTATTCTCATATTCTTTCAGATAACAATGAGGTTGATCGATTTAAAATTGGTTGAGAAATGCGCATAAATAAAATATGTTGGTGTTGCAAAATAAATATGCCAATACAAATACTCTTTCTGGTTGATTGTAGTTTAAATGGTAAATCTCAATTGTTTAACTGATTTAAATATGATTGAATTAAGTGTAATGTTGATGTTTACTAAAGAGAGGAATGGCGCTTTATGAATCATTACTTTCAGATAGATTTTATTCAATATGAAATAGACTAAAATTATGTAATAAGCATAAAAACAAAGGGAATCTCTTATGAAAATATGACAGAATCTATCTTTCTACATTCTAGTATATAATTACGTACGTTACATGACATTATATCCCCCGTTTCCATATATATATATACATGTGTATATGTATTGGTATTTGAATACGTATTTACATGACAGATTCTTTCTCTCTTTTCCACATACTTGTATAAGATTACGTACGTTACATGAGTACAATTTGCACGTGTCAATCATTTTGATTAACAATTTTTCAGGGTTTCAGTTTTCATTAAATATGCGTATATTTTTTTTGGTTATTGACTGAAAATCACAAAGCGTTTATTTTTTATTTATTTATTTTTTTGCATCATTCAATGAAAAGTTGTTGAATTGAATTGTCAAAACATTTGATATTGAATCCAGATCTACGTTATCTAAATTTGATGATTTGGGTAATTAAAAAATGCTTAAAACTTATTTTCAGTTTGTAACCCTAAGAACCCTGCAAAATTTTATTTATTCGTCCTTCAATAATTAAAAAAAAAATAAACAAAACAAAACAATCAAACAAAACGTGTTGTTAAATAAGAGTTTTCCTTTGACATAACAACACTTCCTAATACTCTTCATATATTTTTGAAATGCTAGTATAATAACAAATGCGTTATAACTGATTTACTAAAGATAAGGTTACATCCTTCTTGCAGTGATTTCAGTACTTTGATTTTAGAATCTATCCCATTAGTCCTGTAATTGAATTAAGTCTATATCTTATTTGTTCTTTTTCTTTAAAGGCGCGGATCACGATTTATCCGGTTATCTTTTTAAAAATTGAATTATATGTGTACGTCTTTGTTCTTCATTCAATTAATTGAAAATTCCTAGATTCATTCTATGTTGCATACATCAATAGTTTTATTACCGGGTATAACCTTTCATTATACCTATCGATGAAAGTGTATCACAGTCATGTACATTGAACTACGATAAACAGCAAAGCACAAAGACATGCCCGTCACAAACAATTTTAGAATTCTATTTTAAGACATTTAATTATATACCTGTATATTTAGAAGAGTCATAAATGCGTAAAAAGTAATAATCAAATGACGTCAAAATACTATTTCATAGTTAAGAATTAAATTAATAATTTTAAGATCGTGTTTTCCGAAATCAAACCGAGGAAAAAAAGAATATGTTTTGGGACAAAAATCTAACTACAATTGTAATTAAATATTTAAACTGTTTTATGTGAAATATGATACAATTCTTAAATTTTCGAACTCTGCAGTTCATATCTCCCTTCCCTGCATATTCAAACACCATGCCTTAGTAAGTAATTCAAATCTTAAGGAGAAGAATTTGTGTTAGATCCTCCTCTTTTCTGCATTTATCCAATGATATACCCCAAGTAGCTTTTAGTTATGAAAAACAGAAGAGCCATTAAAGCATCTTTCTCTGTAATCATCCCCCTCTCTCTCTCGTCGATGAATCTCCAATCTGCATGCCTCCTCCCAACCCCCACCATCCATCCCCGTCTACAAAGTCAGTGAACCCCCCACACGTCTCACGGAACGACTCATTACATTTCGCATTTACTCAAATTACGAAGTAGAATATGTCCATGATTTGTTTTTAATAAAGCCATGTAAAAAGGAATTGATTTGGAGTTTACTTATGAAGGCAGCTCTGTGATATCGCGTCAGTATTGATTCTGAGACGGAGGCTTACGGCCGTCTACTACAGTAGGAATTATACCTATATTATATCTACTGAGGGGGTCTGTAATCAGATGTAAAAGTGCTCATACACAGGATTTATACCTGACCATACCGAGGTCAATACTCACCTGACCCAGGTAGTATAAGTCTGGAATTATATGTACCAAGGTAAGCCTTTCTCGTTAATTGTTAACCTGAAAAAAGCAGTCTCTTTTATCAGTACTATGTGTAAAAAAAAATGTAAAAA